AGTGTAAATCCCCAAAGACTAGGGACCTCTGGCTTGGTCCTGTTCCTTCAAGAGACTACCAGCCACTTCCATGCTGCCACACTGGAGACCAAGCTCCTGACACATAGACCTTTGGGGAACCAAATGGTGTCAGAGCTTGTGTTGAATGTCCTGACAGACTGTACAGCTGCCTGGCATTCAGCCATGAGTCAGACTAGAGCTAACTCCGTGAAGCCACCCAATGGAGGCTTTATTAAGGAAAGCCCCGTGTGGGGTTTTGTAGCTCATTGTAGGCTGCTTGCCTAGCGCACACGGAGCACAACCTGGGTACCGCGGTGCATGGGCTGTAGTCCCAGCACGTTGGAGGAGCAGAGGTTCAAGGTCATCCTTGGCTACGTCTGAGTTTAAGGCCATCTTGGGGCACATGAGACCCTATCTCAAAAGGAAGGAAGAGAGAAAAAAAGAGAAGCCCTGTGTCGAAGCGAGGAGAAAAGTCCGTGCCTTTCTCTCCAACTTTCAGCCGCCTACCTGCCTACGGCTGCTTGAGGCAGAAGCAATCTCTGTCTGCTTGAGGGTATTTTGGGGCCATTTGAGGCTGGGGTTCCCAGCCGCTGGGGAAGTCCCTGAATTTCCTGAGCCAAGTCAGGACTGGCATCTTGCTCAGCATCCTTTAGCTAACTCGACTCCTGTTCCCTTTGAAGGCTGTGTGCATTGCCCCCTCCTTGCTCTGGGGACCTGGCTAAGACAAGGCTACAGAGCTAGTTGGTTCATACGGCCAGATTCCAGCCTCTGGCAGGCATGGGGACTTGGCCTCCACCGCAGGCCTAGGTCCCTGCTGTCACATAGGGGCTGCAGCTCTCAACCTCGGGACTTCCCCTCCTGATCTTCAAAGCACTTTCACGCCTGCTTAGGGGTTCATGAACTGCCTGGTACCAGTACCTGCTGATGGCACCAGGGCCTCTGTTCCCAGTCTCAGGAGCAGCTACCTCCCTAGGATGCTAGCCCCTCACCCTCTGCTTAAGAGCTAACCCGCTAACTCCTTGCCTGCGGGATGTAGCTTTCTTTCCAGCTAAGTTGCTGCTGCAGCTGCATGCCAGACACTGTCCTCCGTGCTCCTGAGTACTCTGTTTCTCTAAGACCCCACAGTGACCTAGGGTAGAGGAGCATTAGTTAGGGGTCCTATGGCTGTGATGAAACACCAGGACTGAAGAAGCAAGCCGGGAGGAAAGGGCTTGTTTGTCTTACACTTCCATCATTGGGCTCCATCGCTGGAAGAAGGCAGGACTGGAACTCAAGCAGGGCTGGCACCTGGAGCTGATGCAGAAGCCGTGGAGGGGAGCTGCTTACTAGTTCCCTTCCCCGGCTTGCTCAGCCCACTTTCTTGTAGAACCCAGGACCAGCAGCCCAGGGGTGGCAGAACCCACAAGGGGCTGGGCCCTTCCCCATTGATCACAAACTGAGAGAATGCCTTACAGAAGGATCTCAGGGAGGCATTTTCTCAACTGAGGCGCCTTCCTCTCAGATGACTCTAGCTTGTGTCGAGTTGACAGAAAACCAGTCAGCACAGACATCATGTTATGACATGGTTAGATCAGCTCTAGAACTGAAACACAAAACAGCAGTGATGACCGTTTGACTGGAAAGTGGGGGAACTGTGTAGGGTGAGCTACAAATGGGGAGCTGCCTGGTCAAATGTTGCGGGGGCAGGGGTAAGGATCGAGAAGGAATGAGATTTCTGAGGGGATTTAAGTTTCTGATGCCTCCAAACTCTTAGCATAGCATAAGCAGGCAAAATGAGCCCCAGTTTGTACTGTCCAATCACGAATACAGAGCTGGGGAGCTGGCTTATTGGGTAAAAGCCCTTGCATGGAAGCAAGGGGGGAGGGACAGTAATGAAACCACGGAAATGGCTGCTCCATGGTACAGTTAAGGGAAAGACTTTTATTGTGAATCGGAGAGAGAAAATATCCAGAGGTATCTGGAAGAATCTAGAGCAGAGAGAAAGAGACATGGCCAGGGCTATCTATCTATCTGCCAGAGAAGTGAGAGAGAGTGGGGATGGGGTGGGGTGGATGTGGGTGTGGACAAATCACATGGACCATGAGGAGGACAGTAGTTGAGGGATGAGAAGGGCCAGGAGGCTGGTGTGGACTTTGAAATGTATAACACATACGTGTGAGCCTGGAGGCCTGCGTGGGTCTTTGTTATGCAACCACAGGTATACGTTCACAGAGCCCAGGTCCCTTCTGCCAGAGACAAGGAAACGACTCTTTGGGAGTATTTCACAAGGTCCCTGAGGAATGCTGGCTCTCGTCTGACGGCCAGAAATCCTTGTGTGGTCCAGATCAAGCTCTTACACATGAACTGTCTGAGACCTAACCCTGACCACCTGATTCAAACCTCTGAACCATGTCGAAAGCCAGACGAGGTGGCGGACATTCATGATCTCAGTGCTTCTGCAAGATGGGATGTCTCGGGCCAGCCAGCCTGGAGTGTCCAGGACTCCAGCAGAAACAGTCCAGAAAGCTGGCCTCTGAGGTCCCTGTACATCCAGACTTACACAGAAGTGTGTCGCGTGCACATGTGCTCACACTAAAATACTCAGGTTTTTTTTCCTTTCTTAAGAATAAGAGTCTCCAGGGGTGAGGCCCTTCCCCAGTCCCAGTACATCTCTGTCAGGGTCCATGGTGAATAAAGCCTAGGGACTTGTGTGTAGCAGAAGTTGTCTGTGTGGGGAGGACAGGAGAGAGACAAACCCCATCCTTAGTATCATCATCTTACTTGGTTGTGTAAGGTCCCTTAGACTGGGGCCCCTCGGTCTCCGTACTCACTACCCACTGTGAGTCAGAGGGGTCCCCACGTTTATGAGTACCACTTAATGAGACACTGGCGAGTTTACCGTTTTCTTTTTGCACTCCCGAGTCGCACTACTGATTTTCATTGTTTTGCTGGTGAAGTCATAGAGCCATAAGTTGTAAACTTCTGAAAATTTTTGTTTTTTGCTTTTCCTAAGAACCGTCGTGGTGCGGAGAGAAGCTGTACCACTGATCAGCACAGAGGAATGAAGTTCTGTTTTCCCCTAGCTGTTACCATGAATTAATAAAACCCACTGATGACGTAATGGGCCCTGGAGACTAATGAAGACTGCTGTCATTTGCCTGCCTTTGGTTACTAGGAAGGAAGGTTGGACTTTCACAAGGTGTGACTTGTATTTGGTTCTCACCCGGTGCAAGCTATTTGGATGCTACTTTTCTTTTCCGCAAGTGTCTAACAAGCACCAGCTCATTGCAAACACCAGTGGCACCCTGGGAAATGGGGACCGGGGCCCCAGCTACCGCTGCATCTCCCTGACCCTGTGATTATTAGACCCAGGTGGGGCACTTCTAGCATCAGGCGAGGGAAGTGTTTGGAGCGGCCCTATGGAAGATTCACAGGAAGAATGGATGGATTTTCCAGGTAGGATGTGGACCTCAGGGAGGCCTGAGTGTGGACTAGGAAGTTTGCAGGGACTTTGAAAGGTTCTCATAGGAAGTGGCAGCTGGCACCCTGGTCCTCTATCAAATGGGTTGCACTGAAGACCAGACCAAAGCGTGGAAGCCAAAAAGGTCCTTGGGTCCCATCCTTAGAACACACAGACAAGCTTGCCTGTTTCTCTGTGTTGCTTTCTGGGTTTGAAAATAAAACAAACAAACAGGAAACAGACAAAAGCAGGCTGCACCTGCTAGTCCGTGTGCAGACAGTGACCATGTGCTGATGGTATTAACTGAAGGAAAAGGTTCCCCTGGGGGAGCCCCAGGTGGGAACGGGGAGCCCCAGGTGGGAGCAGCAGTCCCTCACAAAGAGGATAGCATAAAGTTTTGGGCAAGGGTGCCAGGTACCTCCTTCAAGCGAAAAAGTATCTGGGGGCAGGAACAACATGGATTGATACACAGATGTCCTGGTCTTCACCTAGTTCTTTCCCTGGTCATTCCACTCACCTGCCTACCCATGCTCCATCCAGGCATCCAACCTCCTATCTGTCTATCACTTTGTCCATCCATTTCCCCATTATCCCAGGCATCCATCATCCCTTCTTCTCATCAGTTCTCCTATCACATACCCTCTCATCCATCCATGTAATCATTTCCTAATCTCTTCACACATCCCTCCACCTCCACCCTCCCACTCACTCATCCATCTCATCCATCCACCCCATCTCTTCATTCCTTCATCCACCCACTCACTCATCCAGCGACCCCATCCCTTCATCCACCCACCACCTCATTTCTTCATCCATCCCTTCCTTCCGTGACCTTCTCATCCATCAATCCCCCATGCATCTCACCATCCATTTGTTCTCCGTCAATTCTTCCATCCTCCCATCCATCCCCTCACCCTCTCATCTATCCCCTATCCATCTGTCCATCCATATATTCCCTCATCCTCCCATTCTCCGTCCACTCGTCCATCCATTTGTCCTCTATCCATCCATTCACTCCCCGTGCATTCATTTATTCTACAGCAAATCTTCACGATGAAGAAACGCTTACTTTCTCTCTGAAATATTCTGACTCTGTCCCTTCCTAAGAATCCCAATGACCTTGGAGAAAGCCAGGTTTCTCTTAGTGTAGTGACAAGAGCTGGAAACCGGTCCTGTCTCACCCTCCCTTGGGTTAAGGATGGAGCTAGGGGCCTCAGGACTCCGGGTACCTCTCAAACTCCTATGCCCTGCACCTTTAGGGCTGAGCTGCCTTCCCAGTTCCTCCTCAAATCCGGGGCGGGCCATTCAAACTGCAGGGCGCGTGCCTCAGGGGAGCCCCCCTGATTGTGTGCGCTGTGGCTAGTCCTGAGTCATCTCAGCATGCCGTGGCCCCTTCTCTCTTAGGCTTCACAGGGAAACAGATCGCTGCATCACAGGTGGGGGGGGGGGGCATTAGGGCTGAACACGAGGAAGGCGCAACTACATTAGAAGTGATTTCGCCGCAAGAGGCAGGGTGTCTGCCGGTGGCCAGGCGCTGGAGCTATAAACTCAGGGAGCCAGGATGAGCGCGTTCCGGGCGGCATTGGGATTGCTGTTCCTGGGGATGCTTCGAGCCTTCCCAAAGGTAAGGGGAGGGCAGGGTCACTTGTCACCTCATTCCCGACCGGAACAGGAGTGAGGGGGCGCAGGAGGCAACTGTATCCACAGGTGGGTGAAAAGTAGAGCGCCTCCTCTTCACACCCACGGGCAGTAGACGCTGGGAGTAGTTCATTCATTCACCAGTTGAATCCCGGGCAAGAGAAAGCTGTGCTCCCCCCTCACTGTCGGCCCAGTGGGGGTCCCGAATAGATGAAAAGAAACCTGTGCGGGTCATTTTATCCGGAAGATGATATCGAGCTGTTGGTGCTTCCATATAAGCTGGAAGGGTCTCAGGAAAGAGAGGAGGGAGTGGATGAGCTTCAGAGGTGAGAGCCTGGCCGGCCAGTGGTGTGGGCTGGGTGTCCCGGAGCACACGGAGGACGCTTCTCCCTGAGGAAAGTCCGTGGTGTCTCTGGTTCCCTTGTTGGAAGCCCGGGAAATGAGACTGGGCAACGAGTTAGGAAAACTGGACACCTCCTAGAAGCCAGCACCACACTAGGCATTAGGATGTGGGAAGGACATAGACTAGATATAATAACCTACTTCGTGGAACCCAGGGTCTGCATGGGAAAAAATGCCCCTGGTTGAATGGAAGCCGGGGCAGGGGAGGCAAGGGACAGCCGCAGACTGGTGTGGGCATGAGGTATCTCTGCTATGGAGGTTGGGGCTGGAGAGAGGGTGGGCTGCCGGCAAGAGGGGGATGGTAGGAAAGTGGCCGTGTGACACCTGCCCTGGAGAGGGCAGAGGTGAGCAGAGGATCCTCCCCATCTTCCCCGCAAGCCCGAAGCCCTCATCTGGGAAAGGTAAGAGTTTGGAATAATAGGACCCTGGGCGATGAAGAGAAGGGCGTGAAAGCAGAGGGGTTCGGCCAGCTTGTGAAGCGTATCTGCCTCCTTTACAAAGTGGAAACTGTTTTGGCGGGAACACACTCTCATGTATATGGGTAAGTCAGGGGACAGCTTTTGAGAGCTGGTTTACGCCTTCGGCCATGCGGGTTCCGGGACTAGAACTCCCCATCTCCCAGGCCCGGGAAAACACTTTTAAAATTAAAATAAACAGCGAACTTAATGCCATCTGGACTATGTGAAAATATCCCAAACAAGAACTATAAATGCTCCTTCCAAGCTGTAACTGTTCTTGCTTTACAGTTTCATTTACAAGGCTTTTGCAAATGTATATCTGTATTTGGATCACTTTTTATCAAAATATATATAGGGTTTCTTTCTTTCCTCCTTTCTTCCTTCCTTCCTTCCTTCCTTCCTTTCTTCCTTTTTTATTATAAGACCTCATGTAGCTCAGGCTGGCCTCCAATTTGCTGTATAGCCAGGGATGATTTTGAACTGGTCCCCCTCCCTCTACTGATTGCCTGGTGGCTTAGATCCCATGTTTGATGCATGCAGTGTGTGAGACTGAGCCCAGGGTTTTGGGTGTGCTAGGCAAGCACAGCTTGTCTTTATTCTTGTCTTGAGAGAGGGTCTGTGTAACCTAGGTTGGCCTTGAACTCCTGTGTGGTCAGGATGTCCACACATCCCTAATCTTCCTGCTGGTACCTCCAGAGCACTGGCTGTATTACAGCACACCCAATCACGATTCTCTGTTTGGCTCTTACTGTGTCTGCAGCAGGTATTGGAGGGCAGATCCCATCCCTGGTGAATGGACAACGAAGTTCTTACTGCTGCTTTTCTGTTTGGTTTGGTTTTGATGAGACAGGGTTTCAGTATGTCGTCCGGGTTGGCCTGGAACTTGATGTGCCGACCAGGCTGGTCTTGAATCAATACATCTGCTAGCATCTGCCTCTCACATGCTGGGAGTAAAGGCACACAGCACCGAAAATGCTGGGCGTAAAGGCATGGACCACCGAGTGGTCCCATCATTGTCTTTTGTGTGCTTGCTGTCTGGGGAGTAAGGGTGATTCTTTCCCAGAGGAGAGACAAGAGAATAGCGGTGGTTGACGGGGCAGGCGTGCACTGGAATGAAATGACATGCCATCCAGGGTGCCGGGCAATGTCTTTTCCCACAACAGTGTAAGACAGTAGCAGTTTCCCACATCCTAACCGACATGCGATCTTATCAGTGTCTGTTTTGTGGTCGTGAATGGGGCTGTATCCTTCCTATGTCAATTTGCATTTCCCAGTGACTGTAGGCTGAACCTCAAGTCTGTGGGCCTTTTCATGACAAGACTTGGGGTACCTGTGGGGGAGGAGCTGCCTGCCCCGCAAGGTTCTCTATTCTGTTCCTTCAACACTTCAGTCAGCTTTCCCGTCCAGTTGAGGTTTGGAATCCTATTTAAAAACAACAACAACAACAACAAGCAAACAAAACAAACAAACAAAAAACTATTTAAAGCTGGGCTTGTTGGTGCACGACTTTAATTCCAGCACTCGGGAGGCAGAAGGAGATAGATCCCTGTAAGTTCAAGGCCAATTTGATCTACATTAGCCAGGGCTATGTAGAGAGATCCTGTATCAAAACCCAAAAAACCAACCAGCTGAACAACACCCTCCCCCTTAAAAAAATACTTAAAAAAAAAAACTGGGTACCACACACCTAGAATCCCAAAGCACTTGGGAGACGGAGGCAAGAAGGATGTGAAGTCTTAAGGCAGAGCTGGCAAGATGGCTCAGCAGGTAAAGGCACTTGCCACCAAGCCTGACAACCTGAGACCGAGCCCCAGGACTCGCCTGTTGGAAGGAGAGAACTAACTCTTGGGCATTGCTCTCTGATCATCACATGCACATGGTGGCTCACGTGTGAGAATGCTCTCACACACACACCCATGCACACAAAATAAATAGAATATAATTTTTTTTTTTAAAAAAGTTCCAAGGTATTTTGGGCTTCATAGAAAGTTCCTATCTTTAAAAAAAAAAAATTTTTTTTTTTTTGGTCTGGAATTTCAAATCCTTTTCCCAACTCCTTCTGCTTTTTCTTAACTCCTGTCACTTTGTGACAGCATGTTTTCTGAGAAAGAGATGGGCCTTGTTTTGTAATGTTCTCGGGGACTTGTGTGGTGCAAGCCCAGAGAGACAGAGTTCCCCCAGGATGCATCCTTCCCCTCCAGGCTTCTGGGGATGGTCTGGCTCCCTGGCTTCTGGTGAATTCCAGGGGTTTAGAATTCCCCTCATGTCTTCCCAGATACATCCTGCCCCCAGCTCCGGTCTGATTTCCCTCCTCCAGCCCTGGCTCATTGAGGTTCCCACAGGGGAATTCTCAGGAGCAAGAATACACAGCCAGTACTGCGTTCCCATTGGTGCAGCAGACCCGGTGGGTGTAAAGGTGACCCTGGTAAGCGACCAAGGGCAGCAGAGCTTTCTTGGATTCCTGTGCAGGACCCGTGACTTCCAGAACCAGCCAGATCCTGTCTAGAGGCGGAATTCCATAGGAGGCTCGAGAAACCACACGAGAAGGGGTGGGCCGTAGGAGACTTTGGCCTCTCTTAGTTAAAGTCTGCCTTCCGCCATGGAGATGGAGGTTGCAGCAAGAGCTTGGAGGGCAAGGCAGGGCAGCTGCATTACTCAGCTTGAGAGCAGCCCTGCTGGGACTAAGGCAGCCCTTACTGGAAGTTTCTGCGGCTATCACTCATATCTGACCCGAGGGCTTCATGAGTAAATGTGATTCATTTCTAGGTCTGCACACAGCAGCATCTGCTGCATCTCAGGACAGAAGTTGGCCATGAGCCCTTGAGGCGGGGGTCCTTGCTTAAGCAGCTTATCCCAGTTTGGGCCTGTGTGATTCTGCTGAACTGTGTCCTGACCTTGGGGGTGGCCTATCTAAGATCACAGTCTGTTGCTTTCCAAGCTACGAAGAGTGCCTGGTTGGACCTGCAGACAAGGCAGCCTTTTAGAGGACACACCAGCTACACACACATGCACACACACACACACACACACGCATATGCACACACATATGCACACACACATACACGTGCGCGCACACACACACACCCCAAACCAAAAGGGAGGGATCTGTCCAAGAGAGATTAGCAGAAGAGCTTGGCCTAGAGAGTGGGGATGGGAAGAAGGTGGGCAGTGTGGGCAGCCCAGAGTGGGCAAGGAAGGAGCACCGCTAGCGGAGGTGGCAGGGGAGGAGTCCAGTGGTACAGACGTCAGGGATTATGACCCCACTATTTCTGGGCCACGCAATCAGATGCTAAATCTTCCTTAATAACAGGAGTCAGAAATTCAGAAATTTCAGCAGTCGGGAGAGAGACAAGCAGAAGTGGGGTTGTGGGGGATTCCAGCTGTATCTGGGGGTGGGCAACTGCCTGGATGGTGGGGAAGCCTGATAAGACATTGCAGGTGTTTGGGAGGAACACATATGGTCTGTTTTTGCCCAAGTCCAGGTGTCAAGAGGGTATTCAAGTGTGGACGCTTCAAGGGAGTTCAGTTTCTGATCTAGATCTCTAGTACCAGAGTGACTACAGAATTCCTGGTGCATTCTGGGTCAGCGCTAAGGGGCATCAACCCTTCTCACTGGAATTGTGTTACTTCTTAAGGTGTCCTAACATTCCATATATTTGGGGCACCTTTCAGCCTATTGGTTCTTGCCCGCCCAGGGCTAGCCTCTCTCTCTCTCCCCGCTCTCTTTCCTCTCTCTTTCTCCTTTAATGACTTACTTTATGTGTGTTGGTGTTTTGCCTGCATGTGTGTTTGTGTGAGGGTGTCAGATCATCAGGAACTGGAGCTACAGACAGATGTGTAAATGTTGAGAATCGAACCCAGGGCCTCTGGAAGAGCAGCCGGTGCTCTCAGCTGCTGAGTCATCACTCCGTCAGCCTGTCACAAACTGTCACATAGTTGGTGGCTGGGAGTAACACAGATGCACTATTTAATGGCTCTGGAGGGTTGGAGGCTGAAAGGGGGTCTCAGAATTGCGTTTCTGCTAGAGAGGCTCCAGGAGGGGCCTCCTTGTCCTTCCCAGAGGCTTTCTCCATCCTCATCTTCTCCAGGGCTTAGTCGCTCCCCTGCATCTTCTAAAGACTTTGCA